CCTCCACCTCTAATGGCATGACCTCCACCTCTAACTGTCTGACCCCTACCTCTAGCTGGCTGAACAGACTGTGAAGCAACCGGTGCCGGTATGATGGCACGAGAATTTTGCCGAGATCTATTACTCGCCAATCTAGGGCAATACCTCCTGATGTGACCAATGTTCCCACACTCATAACACCCATCCTGATGTCGTGGCTACTGAAGCTAAAGCTGACCCATATGGGGTAGATAACCACTGTAGTAACTATTGAGTGTGGTGCACTGATAGGAGCTGAATGTGCACTGAATACTGGCTGCCCAGAGTAAAGCATAATAGGACCGTTACTCCATGAAGCACCGGGAGATACATGGAGTGCTGAATGAAATGGTCTGGGAGGATGACCCCTACCAAAATTACCCCTGCCTCTAGATGAGGCACCACTGTAACCACCGAACTGACGAGGCCTCTTATAGGACCTCTGCCCTCTTTCATGTGCAAAGACCATCTCGATCCTCCTTGCGACATTAGCAGCCGCCTGGAAAGAAATCTCACTTCCGGTCTCCTTGGCCATCTGAAGTCTGATAGGGTGAGTGAGTCCCTCAATGAACCTCCTCACTCTCTCTCCCTCCGTAGGTAGTAAAAAGAGAGCATGACGGGCCAAATCCACAAAACGGGACTCATATTGAGTAACAGTCATACTGCCCTGCTGTAGACGCTCAAATTGCTTGCGAAATTCCTCTCTCAGTGTGATAGGGAGGAACTTCTCCAGAAATAGCTGAGAGAACTGCTCCCAGGTAAGTGTAGGTGATCTGACTAGTCGGGTCAATGTATAATCTCTCCACCACCTCTTGGCAGATCCCGTCATCTAGAATACGGCAAAATTAACTCCATTGGTCTTAACTATACCCATGTTTCGCAGCACCTCGTGGCAGCGTTCAAGATAATCCTATGGGTCCTCAGAAGGTGTACCACTGAAGCGAACTGGAAAGAGCTTAGTAAACTTATCCAGTCTCAATAAGGCCTCAAAAGACATGGTGGGCCTATCACTGGTCTGTGCCGCAATAACTGGCTGAACTACCCCAACTGGCGGGTCTGCTGGAGCCT